AATCTGAGGGTTAAAGGTTTGGTATAGACACCCTCTTTGTGTCTGAAATTTATTTCAGGAGTTCATGATATTGTGACGTAGCATCAATATGCAATGTCACATCAACACGGTGATGTGGAGTCTTCATGTAGTGTCAATGTGTGATGATGTTGCAACACAACAGGATATCATTGCATCATGATATGAAGACAAAATGTTGTGGATCAATTATTTTGTCCTTCAGGGGGAAAAAAAATGCAACTATCTGGAGTCTAGCTGAGATACTGGGCTCAAACTGAATGTCAGACTCCCAAAAAGAAAAGACAAATAAACATGGCTTGTACCATGTTCTGTTCTCCAAGTGCAACTGGGAAAGAAACCAGCAGATCCATTTTATGCAGCAAAGATGTCATGCTGTGAATGGGATATGTGCACATACTGTGTGCAGCAGTTTGCATTCTGCTTTCACAATTCAGTTTCATCCCCTCCATTAAGGACCTGTAGCAACCTGGTCCTGAATATGAGGGGTGGAAAATTGTACTCACCCAGACTGCGGGTCTTTGTTTTGCAGGCTGGGAAAGTTATAGAGGCTTCCATCTCCTCTGAGATCCCTCTCTAGAGGGATGTGAATCTTTATCCATGGCAATATTGATAGGCTTTAGTGATATTTATGTTCAGCACCCACTCTTTGGCCAAAAGAAGGGTCATTATGTTATAAAGCTGAAGGTGACTAATGGAGAAGAATTAGAGAAAGTTCAGATGGTTCCCAAAATTTAAAGCACCTAACTTCAGAGTTTTATAAAGTTTAAGACCAGAAAGGACTATAGTTTTCCTTCTTTGACGTACTTAAAGCACTAGTTGACTGAATGACTGAAACACTGATATAAGCCCAAACCCAACTACCTGTCCATTTACAGCAGGGAATCATGGAATAAGCTTTCAGGCCATACCTAGTCCCTTGCCTTCAGCTAATGCAGTGATGTGCATCAGTGTCCATCAAAAAACAGACCCTCTGGCTTTGTCTTTCCTTGGTTTAAATTAGGAATTAGAATAATGACATAACTGAAAAATAGCACATAAAAGCACAAGAAAAAGTATCTCTTCCAAATGGCAAAGCATTGTTGGGAATAAGCTTGATGGGCCCTTGTTACACACACCCCTTTCCTCTAATAACGGAAGATGGGGGTGACGAGCTATTTGGGGCCCACTGCGCCCACACCAGGGGAGGGGAGCCCTGAACTTACTCTGCAATTTCCCGCCCCCCGCAATTCAATTACAATGTTACCAGCTCAGTGTGGCAGCAAGTAAATAATGCCAGCACGTCCAATTAATATGCTGATGCTAAGAAAGTGGAAGTGTACAGAATGCCCATTTGGATCAAGGCTAAGCACAAAGCATGGGGTTGCCATGGAAACAAGGGGAGGGCATTAATTAGCTATCAAATGAAATCATCAGACAGAATCTGGACCCTGGCATCTCTGCACTCATGAGAGTTGAGGGGCACAGCCTAGGCAACCCTGCTAACCAGCCTTCTTTCAGTGACTCCAAGGTCTATCAAAGCAAGATGCATGTCTTGGCACAAAACAGCATCTTGAAGAAGTAGAGCCAGGGTAAACATGGATGGCTCAGGAGGAGGAATGAGGGGAGGGCAATAGAGGACGCAAGCAATATCCCCAGGGAACAATTTGTTGCAAAATGTGAATGTGGAGCCTGCTGCTGCTGAGCAAATCAATGGAAGATTTGCCAGTGACTTCAGTGGGGTAAGGAGGCGGCACTGGATCCCTAGTAACGAATTAAGGATCTTGCTGCTTGTGCCTGAGATGAACCCAATGTCTGCTGTTGCTGTAGCTTCCAGATTTCCTGACTACTATTTCACACCTCTAAGCCACAGAAAGACTTCCTTTTCTTCGGAGGATTTAGGAAATATGGCAGAAGGATAACTGGTGGCTGTATTTTTGGCACCTTTCATTCTGACCTCCTGAGCAGTTATCTACCTCCAGCCCAGTCTGTTTTTACATGTCTTTGACTTAGCTGCACTGGTCTTAAGTCCCACATTTCTCTACTGTCATGGACAAGATCGTTTCTCTCGTGTTGAACACTATTTACACAAGCACCTGGTATACCATGGTCCATCAGGAACACCTAACTCCCACTCTCAACTCCCACTACTAGCAAGGAAATGCTGCAGCATTGATGCAAGCTGTTTACTTCTGTCTCAGACTAATGCATTTTCCTTGATGAAGCCTCCCCTTGGCGCTTGGTGAAAAGGAAAAATGGCACAGGCATTAGGCATTGCATGTTGTTGTCTGAAAGAGGAGAAACATGAGGGCTGATCTCCCCTGGAATCTGCCCAGGTTGAAGTGGGGAACTTGGGGGGGGGGAGGGAAGCGGGGTACATGGAAATATATGAAGAAACAATTCCAGGAAATGCCAATGTTGTTTCTATTTTACATGGTTGGAAACGGAACCATTTCCTACTTTCCCTGACACTTCCTGCACCATCCTTTAGCACTAGTAATTTTCAGTTTTCTTTTTTTTTTCCTGATCTCGAATTGTCTTATCTTAATTAATACCATTTTTTTCAGTAAATTATCTATAGATGAAAAGTTTGATGAAAGAAATATCAGAGAAAATCCTGACACCCACAAAAGAAAAACCCATCATAACCAGAACATTTGTAATTCACATGTATGGGTGTGTATATAGATAACCACACAGATACAGACACATATGTTTGTGTGTGTGTTTGCAAAGGCTTGTCAAAAAATATTTGAAAACTCATGGCTCTCAGGTGAAGTACCTGAAGACTGGAAGAAAGTCAATCTGGTACCCATCTTCAAGAAAGGGCAGAAAGTAGATCCCAGGAATTACAGGGCAATCAGCTGACCTCAATCCCTGGTAAGATTCTGGAGAAAATTATCAGAGACCCTTGTGGATAAGCTGGCTGAGGGCAACATCCTGAGGGACACCCAGCACGGGTTTGTCATGGGTAGGTCTTGCCTGAACAATCTCATCTCCTTCTATGACCAGGTGACATACCACTTGGACAAGTGAGAAGAGATTGATGTCATATATCTGGACTTTAAAAAAGCCTTTGATCTGGTGTCCCATGACCTCCTCATGACCTACTCATGGAAAAATTGGCCAACTGTGGCCTCAGCTGCACCACAGTCTGATGGCTGGGAAATTGACTCCGAGGTCAGACCCAGAGAGTAGTGGTCTATGGTAGTGAATCATTATGGTGCTCTGTGACCAGTGGCATCTCTCAAGGCTCTGTCCTTGAACTGGTTCTCTTTAACATCTTTATCAATGATTTCATAGACATTAGAGCTGGAAGGGACCTCGGAAAATCATTGAGTCCAGCCCCATGCCGGAAGGGCAGGAAGTCAGCTGGGGTTATAGGATCCCAGCAAGATAAGCATCCAATTTACTCTTGAAGGTGTTCAATGTAGGTGCTTGAACCACCTTCGATGGCAGGCTGTTCCAGACCTTGGGGGCTTGGACAGTAAAAAAATTCTTCCTTATGTCCAGCCTGA